TACTCAAATTTTGCTGAGCCTTTGAGTAGATTGAAGACTGAGAATTGATCCTTAGATGTGGCAACGTGGAGATTGTCAGTGATGTTCACAGGAACTGAGTCAGTGGAGTGGGCAGCGGAGTTTAGGCAAGTGGAGAACTGAAGCTGTTAGAGTGGCTTAGGGGATAATTGGAGGAGTGGAAACTCCTCTGTCAAGGAGTTTTATTATAAAGTGAAACAGAGAAATGGGGCCACACTAGAAAGTTCTGTTTGTTTACTAAGGGGAATGATCCAGTAGGGAGGGAGACACTACTGAGGCAGAAGAGGGAGATAATTTCAGATGCCAAGTCCTTGAGTAGGCGAGAGGGGATTAGAGCTACTGAAAAAGTAGACAGCAGGAGGAAAAGCAGAGAATATGGGTTCAGTTGCAATAGGTTGGTGGTTGGAAAACTCATTCATTCATTCACTCATTCATTCATTTAGCAAATCTTGGCCTATGTGACAGTTGCTATCCTAGGGACAAGACATATAGCACTGAATTAACCAGATAACAAGATAAGGCTCATGCCCCCATGAGGCTTATATTCTATTGAAGGAAAGGAAGCAATAAATATTAACGAGTGAACTATGATATGCCAGATAGAAGATAAGTGCTCTGAAGAAAAATAAACTTGGGTAAGGAGGTTATGGAGAGCTGGAGAAGAGGGTTCCATTCTTTATCAGGTGGTCATAAAAGGCTTTAATGATCAGGGAGTATTTGAGTACAGACCTGAAGAAAGCAAGGGAGGAAGTCATGTAGATATCTTGGAGAAGATAGTTGGGTTGCAAGCAGAGGGAACAAAAAGTGTCAAATTCCTGAGGCACAAGTATGGTTGGCACGATGTGAGGAACAGCAAGAAGGCCAGTGTGGCTGAACCAAAGGGACTAGATGGGAGAGTTGTGGGAGACAGGGCCAGAGAGGCAGTGAAAGGAAGGGTCACATAAGGTCTCGAGGGCAAAGACTTGAGTTTTACTCTGAAGGAGATGTGAGTTTTGAGCAGACGTGACATGATCTGACTTACATTTTAAAAAGATCCCTTTGGCTGCTGTGGGGAATGGAGTATGGGAGCCAAGGACAGAAGTGTGGCCACCATATAGGAGACTATGGCAGTAATCTAGGCAGGACATAATGTAGTTCTCAGATTGCTCCTATTTTCTCAGTGAAATAAGAGGTAAGATATTCATATGAGAGTGAGGAGGGAATAGTGGAAGCTGAAGGAGAGAAGAGAAGGTATTCCAATATTAGGTGATTAATTAAGGAAATGTGGTAGAATTTCCACCCAAACAGCTGGCAGTAATGAATAGTTTGCTAAACTGCTTACTTACCTCACAATCTCTGGGACTTCTCTGGCTGTGCGCCTTTCTTCCTTGTGTCTAGTTTCTCTTCCTTCACCCTGTATCTTGTCCTCTGACTCTAGATGACCTCCAGTTGGCCTAAAGAACCTAAGCATTTATTAAGAAGAACATGACGGCCCACTGACACATCCAGCTTCCTATGCCAAAACCTTTGGAAAGACTTAAGGGAGGCCCTCAGAGTGCCCATTTCTCCTCAAGAGACTGTTAAACACTGGACTATTGTTCCACCACCTTACTCTCCTGCAGTCAATGAGGGAGGCCTATCGAGTTTCATGTTCTTATTAAGACCATCTTCTCTTACTCTTGATACAGGCCTCATCAGGATTTGAGGGAAACCCACAGAGTTCCTCATGCTTTCTAGTAAGGCCACCACTCCCTGCCTCCATGACACTGCTCACCTCACAATAGACTGCTTACCAGGGCAGTCCCAACAACAAGTTCATAATTAGAACTGATGACCCACTTTTCCTGAGTTAGCCAGTAGAACTAATCTCATCTTGATCCAAAATTCCAGGACTCTAGGGTCATGTGGAAGGCAGCATATTTAAGGTGGAAATGGATTACACCACTTCTGTCCACATCTCCTTAGACAGAACACAGGTCAGTGGTGCAACCTAAATACAAAGGGGGCTGCAAATGTGTAACCAGAGAAGAGGAGAACGAACTGGCATTTGATGAATACAGACAGACATTGTCTCTGCCATAAGCAGTCACAGAAGAAACAAGTAGGAGACACACACAGAGACGGTGGTGACACAAAGATCAAGGAGGAAGAAATCTTCAGGAAGGAAGAACTGATCAATAATGTCATGCTACAGAAAGATCAAGTAAGATATGGACATAAAAGGTCTGATTTTGCAGGTAGGAAGTGCCATAAACTGTAACATTATGAAGGGCAGTTTCTGTGAAATTATGGTGAAGAGAAAGAATGGGAGGTGAGGAAGTAGATAGAGTATAAACTATTCTGTAAGAGAATCTAGCTATATAAAATGACAGAAAGAAATAGTGAAGTAAGTAGAAAAGGGTGCTTAACTGAGGGAGAATTTTTTTTTAATAAAAGCAAGATGTTTGCAAGCTAAAGAACTAGTAATGAAGGAGAAAGTCAAGATAACAGAATGGCGATAATTCATCAAAGAAGTCTAGAAGAAGCTAGGAAAAGATGAGACCGGAGCACAAGTGAATGGATTAGTCTTGGACAGGAGGAATGACATGGCTTCGTCTAAGATGTGTGGAAGGATAACAAGCGTAGGAACAACTGAAGAAAAGTTTCTAAGTAAGGGAAAGGAAGTGAGGGAGTTCATGTCTAATGGTGTTTATTTTTCAAAGGATTAATCTGCTGAAATTATGGTATAGTTGAGGGGTGCAGATTTAAGATAGCTGCTGTGTGGAAGATGGGGGGCTAACCATGGAAAGCAATATGGTATTTAGTGCTCAGCTGAGACTGGAGATCCCTAATGTGTAGCGACACCAATATGTTCCACTGTGAAGTTTTCTTCACCAACACACAACTCTCCAAAGCAGAGACAGATGTTTGAACTGACCCAGGACCAGGGATTTTTGTAGAGTGGATATTGTGGAATAACTAGGGACTGGTGGGTGAGGGTGCTGGTGACAGAGGTATTACAGAGGTCTAGGATGGACACGAAAGGAAAGGGCTGATGGCCTGAGAGCAAAAAGAGGTCAAGGGATTGGAGGGCATGAGGGAGCAGAGGAGGCGAGAGCAATGGAGTGAGAAATGGAAGGATTAGATGTTGTTGCAGAGGATAGAATATTAGAGTTTTAGATTTCTAATGGGGACGGAACAGGTCTGGGGGATGGGAGGATCCAGGTCTGGCCATGGGAGGAGGTTGCTAAAGTGGTCTGAACGTAAGGTGCCATGGAGTTGAAGAGGCTGAAGCTCTTGATGCATATGGGGTAGTGTCCTAGAGAATAGTCAGTGATTTAGACTAGGAGTTTGATAACGTGAGATACAAAAGAAAGAAGGGATTTTGCAAGAAAGTGGAAGAATAGTCTGAAATAGCAGTGAGGAGATGGAAAAATGTAACCCCCTCTTTTCATTTCGCCTTCCTCCACCTCCTTTAGACCCTTATCATCCTGTTTGGATTATAGAAATGCTGTCCTAATTGGTTTCCCTGATTTTGGTCTCTCTCCCATGTGTCCATCATACATATGACTGCCAGCTTAATTAAATTTGTTGAATAGCCTTGACCATGTCTCCCTCTTGTTCAAAAATTTCAGTAGCTCTCTGACTATAGAATAAAATTCATATTCCTTAGCCCCTTCCTCAAGGCTCCAGGCACAGAGATGGTTTCAATCTACTACTTTGTTTTATGCATATGATTTGGGCCAATATCAAGTACTTAGCTTGTATTGACTTAAACTGTATCCTACTTTATTAACACTAATCTTAGAGAACTTTCCCAAACGTGGTTTTGTTAACTGTCAGGAATGTTCTTTCCACCTCTCTCAGAATGTCATCCTTCGAGGGCCAATTCAAATGCCGATTAGTCTCTGCCTCAAACGATATCTCTATTCTGTGTCCTTTTGTAAAAATTTCACTTTAAGCTTTATAGTCTAGTTATTCATGTATCTATTAAGCAAAAACCACTCCTAATTTATCACTGCACCTCAGGCCATTACACCCCCAGCTCATAGCTCAGTCTCTTGCCTTTTGTTGGTATCCAATGTCTGCATGCAGGCATTCATAAATAAATAAATGAATGGATGAGTAGGGCTCTTACAATGTTCTAGTGTGTTAAGGGCCAGAATCCTTCACCAGAAGATGATCTCTTTGAGGTATAAGGTATACACACACACACACACACACACACACACACACACACACGTATATATATATAGAGAGAGAATATATATATATGCACGCATGCACACACACATGTGTGTATATATATATATTCTCTCTATATATATACGTGTGTGTGTGTGTGTGTATACCTTATACCTCAATATATATATTTAGATTATCAAAAGAGTGACTATTATAGAGTAGAGAAGAGATCTGTTGCTTCAAAAATATTATGGACCAGACAACTCCAAAACTGAGTTAAAACAACAATCATTTATTCTCATGAATCTGTGGTTAGATAGGGTTTGTTATCTAGGCTGGGTTTGACTGGAGTGATTTGGTTTTGCTCCAAGTGTCCTTATCCTAACTCAGGCATGTTTTTTTTCATGGCAATGTCGGAAGTATTATTTATACCCTCAATACTTAGCACTGTTCTGAGAACATTGTAAACTTAAGAACACAGTAGATACCCAATAAAATCTTGGCAAATGGAATTGAATTAGGCAGCTTCACTTCTAAGTCGTTCTCACTGTGTTAACCCCAAGAGCTCTAGAGAGTAAAGAGGGTCTCTGATACAGCCAATAGCTGTTTATTTCCTGTCTTGAATAAAATGCCAACTTTTATAACTGGACAGTAACTCCCTTGACATAGACCCATTTATTTGTTTAATTCTTTGATTCATTGAATCATATCATAAACTGTCATTGATGTGTGTGTGATAACTTTATTCTAGACACTGAAGGAAAAAGAAAGCAATCTGTGAGAATAACAGACATCTCATGTTTATAAAGTAACCTCCCCTTTTTCTCCTGTTTGGCCAGGCTGTGACAACATGCTAATGGGCATAAAGTCTCTGAAAATAGTGAAGAAGACTATGGACACAGATGGCTCTTGGATGAAAGATGCCGTCAGCAACTCTGCAAAGGTTTATTTCTTAATTGGATCCAGAAACAACACTGTTTGGGAATTTGCAAACATGCGAGCACTCATGGAGGATAGTACCAAGCCAGGCCCCCGGAAGCTAACCTTAACACATTCCTGGCAGGGAACAGGCCAAGTGATCTACAAAGGTTTCCTATTTTTTCATAACCAAGGGACTCTCAATGAGATAATCAAATACAGTCTGCAAAAGAGGACTGTGGAAGATCAAATGCTGCTCCCTGGAGGGGCAGGCCGAGCACTGGTTTACCAGCACTCCCCATCAACTTATATTGACCTGGCTGTGGATGAGCATGGGCTCTGGGCCATTCACGCAGGGCCAGGCATCTATGGTCATTTGGTTCTCACAAAAATTGAGCCTGACACACTGGGAGTGGAACACTCATGGGACACTCCATGCAAAAGCCAGGACGCTGAAGCTGCATTCCTCTTGTGTGGGGTTCTGTATGTGGTCTATAGTTCTGGTGGCCACGGCCCCCATCGCATCACCTGTGTCTATGACCCACGGGGCACTATCAGTGAGGAGGATCTGCCCAACTTGTTCTTCCCCAGGCGGCCAAGAAGTCACTCCATGATCCATTACAACGCCAGAGAAAAGCAGCTCTATGCCTGGAATGATGGAAACCAGATCATTTACAAACTCCAGACAAAGAAAAAGCAGCCTATAAAGTAGTGCATTACAGTTGGGAAGGAGAGAACCCTGGCCTTGGAAGCTGCTCTCCAGGACATGGAGGCCACAGCCTCTTTGCAATATTGCATCCCTCTAATCACACACAGGGATAGGGTCTAGAAGCTGGAATGCATGTGCATCCTCCCAGATGTTACAGCCTTAGAGATCTTCTAAGGGGTTAGATGAGAGTCTGTCATTCAGAAAATTTCAACAACTTACATTACTCATCCAAACCTCGTGGCACTCAAGGGCTTCCACATTCCAGTCCAGCTTACTTCCAGCCCCCCTTTTTTTTTTAAACCTGCATTTACTTTAATTATACCCTACCCCACCCCAAGCAATAAGAAGTGTAGGCCACCCCCTAATACTCCTGGCTTTTCGCTGCTCTCGCCTTTGCTCAAGCTCTTTCCTCTTTTCACAGATGCCTTTTGATAGTCTTCCATTTTTACTACCCAACTAAAGTACTATTTTTTATTGATGTTTAATCTTGATCTCCCCTAGCTCTGGCTCTCCACCAAGTTAGGCAGATATAACAATAAGGTAAACATTAACATTCGAATACCACTTTCCAGTTACAACCTGTTTGCACCTGTGTACATCATTTAATTCTCATTTCAGCCTTGTACGCAGAAGAAGTCTTTATAGCTGCCATTTTAGAGATAAGGAGAGCTTAAGTGAGCCATTCAAAGTAACAGAGCTGAAAAATGAAAGACAGAGCTAGAAAATACTGCAAATCCATAGTTTTTTCATTGCCCCCCAAAGCATCAAATATGTATGTTTGTTCATCCAACATTTTATAAGCAATATATTAATCATTTAGCCACTTTAGCCACTTTTCATGTTCTCACAAGACCTTCCTATATGGCTTTTAAAATCTACTTCCTCCAGAAAACCAGCCTGAGGGTGAGGACCCTAACTCTAGCCTCATCTTGTCTTCCCTTCTTCCCCTAAGTCTCTCTTCTTGCTTGAAATACAATAAAACTACACTAAGCAAACAAACCTCCTCAGGTTATATTTGCCTACATACCCTCAGCTTAACAGTTTCAGGGAGTGCTGCCTGGGCTTGGGTTTACTGTGGACAATCCCCAACACACTGAGGCCCTTGGTAAATATTCTGTAATCTGGATGGAAGCCAGATAGTGACCAAGGGACTCCCTGCCACAGCAGTCATGCCATGTGGCATGGGGGATAGAGGGCAGCTGTGCTGGCCAGAGGGGCTTCTCCACAATCTTTCCCACGCAAGTGTCCAGTTCAGCCTAGTTTGGGTCACAAGTGCAGGCTGTGGTGCCAGTCTGTGTCATGTGCTGAGGCCTCTGTCTTTTCAGGTTGGTCACATGAGAGGGTTTGCTTTGTATGCTTGCAGCTGTTTTCCAGACTCTGCCAAGCTCAGGCTGGGACCATAAGCAGTGAAGAGAAATTTGTTCCAATCCTCCCCGCCCAACACACATATCATTTGAGCAGAATGGAATTACTCCATGGACACAATGTGATTACTCACCATTTTAATAGAGTGACACAGAAAGCCCAAATCCGTTGTGGAATGAAGCAGATATGAATAAACGTGATATTACCCATTCCATTGGGTTTGGGGACATTACCTACCCTGTGGGTTAAAGAAGATTACCTATTTCACAGGGATAAGGAATGTGAACAGCTTCACAGGGGAGGGTAAAGTGGAGTTATCAGCAAGGGGAATTATGTGAGTCCTAGGCACATAGTTCCTTTGGAGACGCAGAAAAGAGGCTGACTTTCATTTGTGGATATGCTTTGAATTGAATTTTCCAGGGTGCACTTTTCACTAACAGCCTACCCTGCCACCTTAAATTCCTGCAGCCAGAACCAGTTTTTTAGGTCAAGACATTTTCTCCAGGAAGCCCCTGTTAATAATGTGCCACTTTATTTCCTGAGAGTCAGGGCTGGACAGCAAGTAGGTTCATGAACACTTTTGGCCTTCTAAGTGAACCAGCTCTGGGGTTTTTGCTGGATTTTAATCAGCAAAAAGAAGTCTTTATAGCTGCCATTTTAGAGATAAGGAGAGCTTAAGTGAGCCATTCAAAGTAACAGAGCTGAAAAATGAAAGACAGTGCTAGAAAATACTGCAAATCCATAGTTTTGACCTATACCAGTGGTTCTTAAACTTTACTGCATCTGAGGAGTTTTTCAAAATCCTAATGCCAGGTCGCACTTCCAAACTATTAAATCAGAACCTCTAAGATGGTACCCAGACACATTTTTTAGGCCCCTCCTCCAAAGTGGTTCCACAGTGCAAATAAGCTTGAGAATCAGTGACTTACACCATTTTTTAAAGTAATTTTTAAAAGGTAATTGTTTAGTTCTGAGAACAGACTAGCATTTTCTGGGGGCTGGGGTAAGGGCAGTGGATCCACTGGGGCCATGACATGTGGGAGATGGAAACGCCCATGAACTCGTGTGAACTGTGGCAGCCTCCTCTACAAAAGCCTCTCTGCTGCTATTTTAAGGAAGTGAAAGAGAACTGAAGGGTGTCCTGTTGTAACACAACTCTTGTGGGCCCCAGCCTTCCTCTGCTGGCTTTGGCCTTAGTCTGTTTCTGGCCAGGTTCCTGCAGTGACCAGGGTCTCATATTTGCCAGGGTGGCTTAAGTTCTGTTCACATGTAAAAGTCTGGTGAGAACACCGGTAATTTCAGGTACTAGTGTAATTTGAAAAAATATGTGTCTTGTGGAGTTTGTGAACACTCTAGCCTGTAGAGATGTAGATAAAAACTGAGGCCAGGGCAGTAGTGTCTCTGCCAGAGCTGGTGTCGATGCCATCTGAGGCCCACAGGGAGTTTAATCAGCTGAACTGAGCAACCAGTCCTGGGAGGCCCAGGTTGAGCAATAACCTAGTAGTACAACAGAAGGGGATTCAAGCCATACACTGTGGGAAGGTGAGGTCTAGGTCTTCAGGGCCTAGTTCTGCCCAGATTCTAGAATCCATTCCTGTGGTCAGAAATCGCCAAAGCTTTCTTGGGTCTGTGGAACTCCGCCCTGGTGCTGAGCACAGAGAACCGCTTCTAGTCCACAGTAGTTCACAGGACGGCATCAGTGCCTTTAATTGGTGCTGACCGCTAGAGGGACCTCCATCCCAGGTCCCGGATTCGAGCGCAGCCGGACTCTTGGGTGCCTCAGAGCCTTCCAAACTGGGGGAGTGGGGATGAGAGGGCGCTCAGAAAAGAGGAATAAGGCTTCCGTCAGGCCAATCTCAATTTAGACGAATCGCTCTGGTCCAGGAAGTCCAGACACCCAAAAGGTTCCTGTGCTGGCTGTGCCTCTAATTGATTTTTCTACGGCTTCTCTCTCTTTGCAATTCGCGACACAAATTACCTTTCAGCTTCCTCGTATTCATTCCTTTCGGCCAGAGAATGGTGCTGAAAGGCCGGAGAAGCCCAGGGGACTGGGAGTTGGAAACCCCCCGGCAGCATCGCCCGGCCTGGAAGGGTGCGGGAGTGGGAGGAGACGGGAGGGGCGGGGCTGCAGGGAGGGGCGTGGTCTTTGGAGAGAGGCGGGACTTGGAGACTAGGAGAGCGGCCCAGGAGGAGGGGTAGGGGGGTAGGCCGAAGGGTTCGAAGGGGCGTGGTTGATGAGGCGGGTCCCTGAAGAACTAGAATCTGTGGCGGACCGGTGTCTGTGGGCCGCTAAGGTGCAGGAGAGGGAGGGAGAGTGGCAGAGGGAAGGTCCCAGGGGAAGAAAGGCGGGGGAAGCGGGCGCTCCGGGACGAGCCTCCCGTGGGTCCCCGCCCCCGTCACGTGGGCTCCAGACCAGGCCGCTGCCGGTCGGTCCGCTGGTAGGTCCGTCAGTTGGTCGGTGGGTCAGTGGCCTGCAACGCGGCTCTCAGCTCTTATGTTCGGAGGTGGGAGGGACACGGGAGCGGCCCGCACACCTGAGCCACTTGGAGAGGAGCCCCGCACCCAGGTCAGTGGGCTCTCCCCACGCCCTCAGGCCCGCTGCGCGGTCGGAGTGGGAGCCCCCGCAGGGACATTGCCTGGGAAACAGATTCCCCAGGTCCTAGAACTACCCGGGGCGTGGGATCACTGTCAGTATGGGCCCCAGAGCGTGTCCCAGGCACGAGGACGGGGACCATACCCCCGTCTCTGGCCAGACACGGGGTGAAGGGTATAAACTCCAAAAGATTTGCTCCGAATCGCCATCCATTTTGGCCCGGGACCTACGGACAGTCTGCGCCCTGACAGGTGCCAGGATGTCCCTGGATGAGTTGGGTGGTCAGTCACCTCAGTTACTGGTGGTACGTCAGAGCTCTGCTCAGTCAGCTGAAGCAGCGGCGTAATCTAGAGCCCAAGGTGGTTGGGAAATTTGCGGTCTGTTTGTCCAAGTCAATCTGTGTTCAGCAGAGCGTGTGTCCAGTTGCAGTGCCTGGGATGAGACCAACTCTATACTGTAATTGCAAAAACGCAACATGCTTTTGAAGCTCTCAAGCCCCTGTGTCCCAGTAGACTGCAGGAAGAGGATGGTTCTCTTTGAAAGTTGGCTCTTACTCTCCCTCAAGACATCCCGACTCCAGACCCCACAGCTTTTCCTCAGTTAAAAATTAGATTGTATATCTAAAGACCAGAACTTCTAAAGTTTGGGTAGGATTGAAACAGGCATCCTAGCCAGTGTTTAATCCTTATGTTTTAATCCTAAATCAATCAATCAATCAATCCAGAGTATTATATTTTTACATTTAGAGCAGCTGGATATTTGGTATAGATCCATCTCCCTTTCTAGTTTTGGTCAGCTTTCTGTCTTCATCTCTCTCCTTCCTCTCCCAGTTCCTTAATTGATTATAATACAAATCTGAAGTGTTTCCAAATTTTATGTTGCATTTTGTGAAGTTAAATGCTCAACTACAGAAAAGTAGTTAAAAGCCCAATCATAGTAGTTGGCTGTAAACATAATTCATCTTCAGCATGTTCAGTATTTGATTATTATTTGTATATGGAAACACAAAATGTTATTTGATTTAAAGATTATGTATTTCTCTTTG